CTTATTGCACTGAGCCATCTCCCCATCCCCAAATTCAGAAATTTTAAATCTTTAAATATTTATTGCCTACTCCTTTCTACTTCGAGAATTCTAATTATATGAATATAATTTTCTTGGTTTTGACACAGTGAACTATGATGATGTGTAAATTCTTCGTTTTTATTTTGGACAGCTTTTATTGTTATATTCATTTATGTTTGTAAATAATTTATTTTCAATTTGCAATCTATTAAAAATTTTTTTAATGAAATAAAATAAGTCAATAAAAAAAAAAGAAAAGAGCTGTTTTGGGGGCTGCACCCCGTCACAGCCTGTTCCCTTCTCCTTCCTTCTCAGCTACTTCTGCAGTACGACCCCAGCCAGCGGATCTCAGCCCAGGCCGCCCTTGACCGTCCGTACTTCTCTATGGAGCCCTTCCCAGCCCCTTACCCGTGTGTGCTGGAGCGTTTTGGCTGCTGAGAATATTTGAGGACCACAGCCTTAAGTCCTCTCTCAGCTGAATCGGGACCCCAACTTCCCAAGAGAGAACAAATCTGGGAAGAAAGTAAAGCTCGAAGGAATTTTGCATCGGCCCTCAGAGTTTGAATTGGTTCAGCCTGCAGGTTATTGAGTTCTGGAATTGTTTTATGTAGGAGAAATATTAGCTTCCCAGTCCCCTGGCACTGGAACAACAGGTGTTAAGTTGAGCGCAGAGAGCTCCCTGCAACTGCTTCCCCTGCAGAGCCAGGCCCCAGGGAGGGATGCCCCCTGCTGGTCTTTTTTGATTTAAAATATTTGCTAGAAGAGTTGCATTCAGTTGCAAATTCAGTTCAGAATTCCATATTAGAGAGGAAACCCAGGGGGCAGTTTCCTGACTCAGAGAGCTCCAGGAACCTGCAGCTGTTCTAAGTATTTGTCCTTTGGGGCCGGGAAGATGGCTCAATAGAATAAGTGCTTCCCTGCAAGGGCAAGGGACTGAGTTCAATCCCCGGTTCCACCAAAAAAAGTATTTGTCCTTCACACAAGATATGTCTGTGTTGCTTTGCTTCGCTTGATGAATGGAAATAAACAGGACACATTACTGAGGGTTTTTTGGGCATTATTCTGTTCATGGTTTCGTAGGAACACCTGGGTTGGACCTGGAGAAAATCTGGCTTCAAACAGTGAAGGCAGGAAACTGAGAAGGGGTGGGTGGGCAGGCTGGGCTCTTCCTCAGTCTCTTTCTCACTGCATCCCTGCCCAGAATCTAAGGAACTACTGCCCCCCCAGAACTCCCACCTCCGAGGCTGTTGTGTTGGGCACATCTACGCCCATTGCACCGGGAAGGACCCAACAGTGCTGCCCCTCCGCGCAAACCCCAGGCTCACTGATTGGGTATTCCTAAATATGAAGGAGACATGGCTCTGGGAGAAGTCATTTATTGGAAGCACAGGGTGGAAGCAGGGAAACCCAGCTACACAGAGCCCCTGGTCTGGGGGGTGGATTGGGCACCAAGGTTAGAAGAGGGAGCCCAGCACCACAAATGTTTAAGTAAAAAGACAGTGATGGGTTGACAGGAAAGACTTGCTGCCTGGAACAAGACTGCTCTGGGGAGAAGGTTCTCGGGCCTCATCAACGCACACAGGAACGTGGTAGAGTGGGGGATGCCGCACGGAGGTAGCGGTAGCCCTCCAGGGCAGCTGGAAGGAGCAGCAGGCCGCTCAAAGGGTCCTTGCGGCATCGCCCCATGGCCTCCTTGTAGCTCAGCCGCTCCTTGGAGATGGGGTCTGTCAGATCCTTTTCGTAGCCAGACTCGTCCTGCAGGAGCTGGGCCAGCTCTTCACTGATCATGCCCAGGAGCACAGCCTGTGGGATGGGGGTGCGGCCCGTCCTCTTTGGGTCGATGAGCCCCCCGGTTAGGTGCTGGGCCTGCAGGTGTGGAAGGACGCTCTCCTGGGGCATCCAGCCCTTCTGGATGGCCTCACCTACCGACAGCCTCTTCTTAGTGACAGGGTCCTCAATGCCGGTGAAGGCCTTTTGGGCATTGAGCAGACGCTGCATGGAGGTGTTCTCAATGAGCCCCCTCTCCAGAGCCTTGTGCACAGAATAGCGCTCGCGGCTGAGGAGGTCCACGATGCCTCCTGTGGCCGCCTGGGCCTCCAGCAGCTTCTGCCCGGTGATGGGGTCCAGCAGGTTCTTGGCCATGGCTGTTTTGATGCTGCACTTGTTGTCTGTGGTTTTGTCATAGACTCCAGCAATGGGGAAGCTGTCGTCTGCGAGCCCAAAGGAGAAGCCTGGGGAGAAGAAACTGGTGCTAGGGGGTGCTGAGGAGCAGAGTGGGGATTTGGAGATGATGGAGCCAATGGAGAGAGAGGAGCAGGGCTTTGACTCCCCTGCTACCAGCAGCGCAAACTCGGAGATGGGGAGCTGGCCGTCCTTGTACAGATGGTACTCCTCCTTGGAGATGCGGTGGCTGCGCAGTGCAGCCTCAATGGAGTACTGCTTCCCGCTCTTGCGGTCCAAGAGCACAGACTCCTCCCCACCTGGCCCCGAGGTGGTGATCTCCTCCCAGTCGCACTCCAGCTCCTGCAGCTGGAGGTACTGGCCTCGGTCGATGATGCCCCTCTTATAGGCCTCATAAGGGGACATATCGTCCCCAGTCTCAGGCTCCAAGATGCAGATCTTGGTGGAGAGGTTGGTCTCCCTGGTCTGGGTCTCCTGGCTGAGCTCCTCCCGGCTCACCTTGGCATGCAGGTCCCGGAGGGTCCTCTCCTTCTGGTAGATCTGGTCCTTCTCTTGGAGGATGGACGCCTCGAGCTTGGAGAGCGCCTGGTCCCGCTGGGCAGCCTTCTGCCGCTCACTGTCCATCTTGCGGCTTAGCAGCTCTGCTTCCTCCTGTAGCTGCAGCACCTTCTGCACCTTCTGCCGCTCCAGCTCCCGCAGCTCCTGCTGCAGCTGCCCGCACTCCTGGCCGGCCTGGTCTCGGGCCTTTTGCAACTCGGTCTCCTCCCGGGACCAGGTCCTCTTCACTGCCTCGGCCCTGTCAATCCGCTCCCGCAGTCGCCACACCTCTTCCTCCTGGGCCCGGCGGGCGGCGCGCTCCTTATTGAGCGTCTCCCACACCTGGGCCCGCTTGCCTTCCAGCACCTGGTCCTTCTCTACTCGGATCACTTCCTTGTAGATGGTCTTTTCCTGCGATTTGGTTTTCTGCAGAACGTCGATCTGGACTTGCAGGCTCTTGCACTCTCGGTGCAGCTCCATCACCTGCATCTTCTCCTGGTCCAGGTCCCGTCTCAGGGCTTCCGTGGACCTCTCCAGATCCGGGTCTTTCTCCAGCTTGACCACTTCCTCCATGATGATCTTCTCCTGCACCGCAGGAGGCCGCTTTTCCAGCTCCTGGATACTCAGGGTCAGCTGGCGCAGCTCCTTCTCTGCGGCCAGCTTCTTGCTTCGGTCCTCCTGGAAGGTGAGCAGGGCCTCCTTCTCCTCCAAGCTAGCACGCAGCTGCTGCACCTCGCGCTCCAGCTGCCGCCGCCGCCCCACCTCCTCGTCCAGGCTGTGGCTCAGGCGGCTGTGCTCCTCACGCAGCTTCGGGTCCTTCTGGGTGACCACCACCTCCTGCACGACCACCTTCTCCTCGGGCTTCCTCCTCTCCAGCAGCAGGTACTTGTTCTGCAGCTCATAAAGCACAGCCTCGGTCGCCCGCCTCTTCTGGGCCGCTTCTCGCACCTCCTGGCGGAGCCGCTCGGCCTCCTTCTCCAGCACTGGGTCCTTTTCATGGCGCACCACCTCCTTGTTGACCATCTTGGTCTCCACCTTGGCCCGCTCCCGCTTCCACTCGTCCCGCTCCCCCTGCAGCCGGATGAGCTGCTCCTGGCAGCGCCCACTGGTGTTGACCAGCTCGTTGAGCTGAGCCTTGAGGCGGTCAATCTCACGCAGCACCTCGGGGTTCTTCTCGTGCCTCACCACCTCCTGAGTCACTTCCTTGTATTCCACTGTGGGCTTCTGGGCCCGCAGGAGCTCCAGGTCGGGCAGCAGCCTCTCCACCTCCTTCTGCACACTGCTCCTCTTGCTGGCTGTCTCCTGCAGCTTGGCCTGGAGCCGTGTGATCTCCTGCTCCGTCTCTGGGTCCACCTGGAAGATCTCATTGACTCGTTCCTGGAACTGCACCTTGGGCTTCTGCTTCTCGGCCACGCTGTGCTTGCCCTGCAGTTCCCTCAGCTCCCTGGAGAGCATTGCATTCTTGTTCTTCTCTTCCTCCAGGAGTCTTTTCAGTCTGGCAGACTCTTTGAGAAGGCCTGGGTCCTGCTCCACCTTCTTCACCTCCTTTTTGATGACCTTGGGTTCCACCAAGCTGATTGCCCGCTCCAGGTCTCTGATGCGAGCCTGGAGCTTGGCCACAGCCTCCTCCGCCCCCTTTCTCCTTGCTGCATCCTCCTTGATCTGCAGCCTCAAGTTCTGGGCTGCCTTCACCATCTCCAGGTCCTTTTCCACCTTGACCACCTCTTTGACCATGACCTTCTTCTTCACGTTTACCTCCTTCTGCTCAAGGGCCAGCAGCTGCTCCTTCAGTGCCTCCACCTGGGCTAAAACCACAGTGTTCTCCCCCCGAAGCTGCTGGATCTTGCCACTCAGCTGGACTGCCTGGCTGGCTAGGCCTGGGTCCCTCTCAATCTGGGTGACCTCTTTGGTCAGCAGGTGGGGCTGCATGGTCTTCCTCTTGCTCTCCAGCTGGACAACCTTCTGGGCTGCTGCCTCTAGGTCGGCCTGCAGCTGGGCCCGCCTCTTGGTCTCCTGCTCCACCTGGGACCTCACCTTGGACAGGCTGCCCTCAAGCTGGGGGTCCCGGTAGAACTCCACCACCTCCTTTTCCTCCAGCCTCTCCACGGGCCGCTGGGTTCTCAGCTGGAGCAGCTGGTGCCTCTGCTCCTCTAGCTGGCGCTGCACCTGGGCCACCCGCTTCCTCTCTTCCTCCAGCTGGGACTTCAAGGTTTCTGACTCCCTTCCTACTTGGGCTGGGCCCTTGGACCCCTGCTTTGCATCATGGCTCACCCGGATATCCTCACTGAGCTCCTTCTGCAAAGTGAAAGAAAGAAGGGAGAATGAGGGGGTAAGGGTAAAAAGATAGCCTCATTTTCCTTTCCTTTCTTTTTGTGGAACTGGGGAGTGAACCCAAGGCCTTTATGTTGAACTACATCTCTGATCCTTTTACTTAATTTTATTATTATTATTATTATTTTATTTATTTTTTTGCAGAGCTGGGCATTGAAGTCAGGCCCTTGCGCTTGCCAGGCAAGCACTTATTCAACTGAGCTATCTCCCCAGCCCAATTTTTTTATTATTATTTTTTTTAAACTCAGAAATTTTTATTTTGTTCTTTTTAAAAAAATATTGTATTGGGGCCAGGGAGATGGTTCAGTAGAATAAGCACTTGCCTGACAAGTGCAAGGGTCTGAGTTCAATCCCTGGAAAAAAAAAGTATCATTAAATAAAAAATTATATCATTAAATCTAAGTTATCAGATCCCACATTTATTAGTAATTAATTTATTACTAATAAATTAATATTCTTTTTTTAAAATTTTATTTGTGTGTGTGTGTGTGTGGCCAGCTCAGTCCACCAGGGGGCGGGGCTGGCTGGCATGTGGTGCTGGGGGATTGAACCG